TTGTTGTGTATATATATATATATATATATATATATATGTATTTATATATTATAATACTGTCTTTATTTGTTTATTGTGGACTGTTTGGCAGTGCTTTTACTGCTTCTGGAACTGTTATGTCCCAGTGGCATTCATGCATTCATTTATTCATTCAAACAGTCTTTTACCTTATTTTTTATTTTTGCTACTTTTGAAAATCCACTTATGTAGACCATTGTCACTGAAGTACTGTATACACCTTTGACTTTGGATGTCACATCTTGATATCAATAGGGAGAATAACTGCTGTACATAATGCAGTGAGGTGTATGTATTTCTCTTAGTTTTCTCAAGGGCTTATCTCACAGTTGAATATTTTTGTATAAAAAGTCTGTCAAGTTTTTTTTTTCTTTTTTGGTGAGGAATTTTGTAAACTGGGTGTTCCGGAGAAAGTCTTAGAAAGCAAGGTCAGATTATTGAGTCATAGATGCAGGATGTTTTAATGAAAGAAGTGTTTTACATTGCATTGATAAAACTGAAGAGATATATAACAAAAATATAGATGCAGAAACATTGCAAGTTAGGCTACTTGCTTGATATACTTTGTAAAAATCGAGGCGTTTCAAAAAGGCGGGGCATAGAGGAGAAACAATAATGTACAGTATGTGGAAAATAATGTGTTTTTTTTAACTTTAAACCGCATAAACACATTTCATTACACCAAATACACAAAATAATGTTCTTTTTAGCAGCATCATATGACCCCTTTAAAAACAATAAAAATAATTATGAATTCTAAAATTCATCCCATAGAAAGAAAGTTTTCAAGATCTTTGTTGATATTTAGTTGTTCATCAAAAGCTGATTTTAGTTTCAATTCAGTGTAATTTTAATCTGGTGTGATCTAGATTTTGGGCCAGATTTGCTAAACAGGCCAAATTAGCGTTAGAGCACAATTCCATAAAATCGCCATAGGGAGGGGAAAATTCTGTGTGTGATTTACTGACAATGCGCACATGAAAGAACACAGATGCAACATCTCATTTTCATAATGACCAGCGCAATCTACCAAGAGCAGTGCAAATTACAGTACCTCCTGCTTTAAGACATGCTTTTTTTCGCCTTAAATAATGCCGCAAATGCCAGTGAATTTGATGAGTGCAAATCTTAGTAAATCGCATTGCGTGATTCATTTAAATACTCTCTTCCCATAAATTTCCCAATCAAAAGGGAAACTCCTACAAATGCATATTCAATAAGGTGAGTCGCAAAAATAACTGTGTCTATGCCTTTTCAGCGCTAATTCTTCACCGCGCGTCTTTAGTAAATCCTGACCGTAGTTTTTTAAGGGTTTGCGCTGGTTCAAGCTGATAGTAAATCTGACCCTTTATGTTCACAAATGTGTAGAGTTTTGTAGTCTATATTTTCTTTAAGCTCAGTTAACTTAAGTAAGAGCTAGAAAGTTGAAAAGTGTGTTAAAACGCCATGTTTAGACTAACATTGTTACTGGTGGCAAGGTGGGAAACTTGCATTCCCTTAATATAATAAAATTTTTAAATAAATGAAGAAAACTTCTTAAAGCTTAGATTAGAGCTTAGATTTTTTTTGTTTCTCCATCTTACCCAGTCATCTCATTCCACTCACCCAAGGTTCAAAGATGGCTTTGGCACACCGGTGGACATCAAAGGTGGCAAAGGAAACATTCGGGGTCAATTTTTGTCTGCCATTCACCACTGCACATGGGATCAGTTGCCTGATGAGCCTTGGGGAGTTCTTCACTGCCTGCTTTCTTTTATTTGACCTGCTTTCCAGCTTGTCATCAAAGGGGCCAACAACATATGTGTCACCCCACTCATCCCATCGTTCTCAGCAGGAGATCTTACACAGTGGGCACATCACATCTTTCCTGGGTCCATCCTCTCTAGCTTTCCAGCATTATTGTCTCATATTGTATTGTCTCATTCCACCCACGGCATGTACTTCAGTGGACATCCTCATCCCATATAACAGCAGGCTGAGATAAGGTTTCATCGCCATCAGGCCTGGAATCTCTGCTGGCGAATTGAAAAGACTCAACTGTTCTGGCAATATTCTGCACCCACAGTTCTCATCCTTTCACAGAGCTGCGCTTGGCAGGATGGCGGATCAGCCTTCCAAAGCTCTTGTGCTCCTGAACTCTTCTCTCCGGGACTGGCCTCTACTCCTCACCCCAGTCTATTACTTTGTCCAACTTGTTCCAAAACATCAAGTATCCACTATCCATTGCTATTCTTACAACTTTACAGCTTAATATGTCAATGAAGAAAGATCAGTAATGTGACCGGAGGAGTGATTGGACTGAATTTATAGTGTTTTGTGGAATCCAGACCAGCGTTACATATATATGAGCAATATCACACGAGTACGTGCATAACTACTTCCTTCTGCCACAGATTCAAATCTCAATTTGACAGTTTAACAGCTGAGCCCAAGCCTCCGTTACTAATTCGAAAATGTCACTTTAGAACTAGTAATGAAGGAAAACTTCATTAAAAGTTTATTGTATTACTGTATTAAAAGTAGAGTATTATGAGAGAGAGTTTGACTGAGTGAGTGTGATAACCTGCATTCATTCATTGGCTCAATCTCATATTCACAATAAAACATTATTAGTTTGAATGTCTGCTGAGGAAAGTGATAGACTACTTGTACTATCCTTTCATCTTTTAAGGGTGATATCCCATTACAGTGCTGCTCATTGCATTTGTTAGCTGCGTCTTACAAGCTGTTGTTAAAAGTAAAAATATACTTACTTGTTTACAACAGCGTTTCAGTCTCTTTCAATATAGAAGTATTTACTTCTGACTCGTAAAAACAGTCTCTTGTCACCATCTAATGGCAGAACAATGTAAAATCACCATCACAAACACACAGTTTCCCAATACTAACTACTACTATTATTTTATTTATACCATGGTTAATGGAAACCTAGAATCAGGCTATTAATTATTTAAATCGCGCCTTCGGCGCTTTTATAAGCGCTAACTTCATGTACGAACTGAACGGAGTGGTTATCAGCACAATATGACTGAAGCACATTATTTTATTTGTGCATGAGCAGCGCACGAATCACCGTATACTCTGTGTGCGTTCACCAGCGCGCTCGAGAAGTGTGATAAGATTTGCGCGAGCCATTCTTATCGCGAAGCTGATGGTCAAATATGTGATCTACTTGAATTATTTAGAGAAACAGCCACTTTAAAATGCTATGGAGAAAGTCTACCAGTATCTAAAAAAGGCAAATAAACTAAAAAGACTGATGAAAAGATGAGAAAACAGTCTTGAACCAGCACTAACATATGTTAAAATCTTTTTAATAGGGGTGCAACGGATCGTGGATGATCCGTGATCAGTACGGACCAGGCCCCACGGTTCGGCACACATGTGATTCGCGGATTAACTGTTAAGTTTAACCATCATAGAGTGAAAGTTTATCATTTGCACATGTTTTGTCTTGCCAATTTACACATTCAAGCAATTTTAACTCACGTGCTGTTTTCTATGCGCTCAGCCACTGCCGCAAACACCCGAAGCACACACACGCAGAGAGAGAGACACCGTGTGAACAGCGAATTGATTCCTCTTTCACATACACACAAAGTTATGTTAAAATACCAGAGTTTGACTGAGTGAGTGTGATAACCTGCATTCATTCATTGGCTCAATCTCATATTCACAATAAAACATTATTAGTTTGAATGTCTGCTGAGGAAAGTGATAGACTACTTGTACTATCCTTTCATCTTTTAAGGGTGATATCCCATTACAGTGCTGCTCATTGCATTTGTTAGCTGCGTCTTACAAGCTGTTGTTAAAAGTAAAAATATACTTACTTGTTTACAACAGCGTTTCAGTCTCTTTCAATATAGAAGTATTTACTTCTGACTCGTAAAAACAGTCTCTTGTCACCATCTAATGGCAGAACAATGTAAAATCACCATCACAAACACACAGTTTCCCAATACTAACTACTACTATTATTTATATAAAATATTATTTATTAAATAATAATATTTAATAAACAACAACAACAGCTATCATAAAAGTTGCTAGGCAATTCAGTCAAAAGTACAAAGGCAACGTTCTGCATTGAACAGCATTGAAGTTACATAAAATATAACGTGATGAGATTTTGCCCTCTGTCAAAACGATTTGCTCTGGAACAAATAATATATTAATGAGACCAAAGACTACCTGGGAGATTTACCCAAAATGAATTATATCTCATATTTAACCACTATAGAGACATCAGAGTCAGCGGCAAATTACAGAAGATCTGGCCGAGGTGAGGCGCTCTCTGCGGGTTTATGAGCGCTGAACGACTGCTGACATCCTGGAGCTCACGTCTCCGAAAACGTTGAAGCAAATTTTCAAATAGATGTTATCTTTATTAACAAAGTGCAAATTTGAAGTCAAAACAAGTACATTCTCGCCTAAAAAAACTCTTAAAACTACATTCCGTGACACAAACCAGTATTATTTTAAAAATTATAGTATATATATATATATATATATATAAAGAAAGCAAAAAGAGAGACGTGTCATT